ATAACGGAAAAAAACACAGATTTTAAGACAGGATTAAAAAAAAATACAAATTGTCTGTTGGGAGAATATGGTCCGATAAAGAGTACATTTATATACGTGAATGATTTGACATTGAAATATGACTTCCCTATGACTTTAAGGCCTGCAGTGTGAACGTAGCCTTAGAGGTAATAAATGGCTCCACCAGCACCGCACTGAAATGAAACAGGTCAGCAGCTTCCTTATTTCCTGCCTGACTCGCTGATCATAGAGAGCATCTTCCTGTTTATGAGTCTCCGGTTAGAAGAAGGGATTTCCTTCTGCTTCAGTCGTGGGGAGCAACAAAAGAAACACACACTTAAAAATAAAGGAAGCTGAAATTCCGTGTGAGAAGAAAGCTTTTCTTCCCGTGTTACATCAGGGCGTTCCTCCACAGCCTCAATGGGAAACTCAACCATTAAAACAGAAAGAGAGGAAAACAAGGAGAGCTAAACTCTGCAGGGAAACAATGAAGAATCCAACAAGTTTCAAACTTCCAGGTTAATCTTAAAAATATTCCTTCATCCCGTCGGATGAGATGAAGCATTTCCCCCCAGAGAGCACTGTGGCCTCTGCTTGTGGACTGTTTGCTGTCTGACTGTGGATGGAGCAGCTGTGCAGAGGAACCCCAGGGAGCTGAAAGAGTTAATGAAGGGGGGGTGTGTGTCGGGTTAACGGTGTTTCCATGGTAGGATTGCCCTGGAATCCAAAGCTGGTGCCAGACCCGGGGAAGCCCTCATCAAAACAAGGAGGGCCCACCCATCAGCAGCAGCTCCTCCAGGTCCTAAACACCGCCGGATTGACGCGGCAGCTGCTGGTAGCGGAACATGGGATGAAGTTCTACCCCTAACCCTAGTGAACAAAGTTTCACAAGAGATTGAAAAGAGTCTTTACATGTTTCATAAAGGTAAAACTAAAATGTAAAGCTGGATGATCAGATGCATTAATCATCATCATCATCAGTAGGAGCCCCTCTGCAGAAGCAGGAGCGGGACCCGTTGGCCGGTCTGCAGGAGATGAGTGTTAATAGACAGAAAGACGAAAGGAATGGCCTCAGAGGAGCAACTGCCCGTCAATCGGGGAAGAGTTACCGCAGGAATCCCCAAAGTCGGTCCTGGAGGGCCGCTGTTCTGCAGGTTTTAGATGTTTCCCTGCTCCAGTACAGTGGATTTTAAGTGAAAGCTGCTTAACAGGCTTTTGCTGAACTGCAATCATCCTAATCAGCTGTGCTGAAGCAGAGAAACCTCTAAAATCTGCAGGACAGCGGCCTTTATGGACCCATCTGGAGTCCATCAGAGAGAGGAGAACATCCACCTGCTCAGGAAAGGACATCTTAGCAGATTTAGACCAGAATCAGAGCCAGAACATCACAGAACAAACCAAACTCCACCTTAAAGCTCCACCTTAAGGGTCATGACCCTGAACCAGCCTGGCTCCCTGAAGGGTTAAAGAGGAAAGCCTCTTTTCTGTAGAACCAAGATGGCAGCAAGAGTGAGATTAGAAACCCAGCATCTGGATGAAGAACCAGATGTCTGGGACCGTGTCCTCTGGACTGAGTAGAGCGAGGGAAGTTCTACAGGCTGATTATAGATCCTCCGTTCCTGAGGAGCTGCTGGTCATTTTCTACCCCGCCATCATTCAGTTTTCCATCACTGTGAGGTTCTGTTCCTTTAAGCCGTCCATACATGCAAAATGTTCAGTCATTGCACGCAGCTACAACTCAAACTGTACGATGAAATCGCAGGGTTTAAAAGTTCACAGCAAGTCCAGTGGTTGGACTCAGTGCTGCCCCAACTTGTTGCTCACATACCAAAATAAATCATTTTTTTCAAGATGATGCAAAGTTAAATGTGAATCTGTTACCATTAGTTATAAAAATAAGAAAATTAA